AATCTATCGCTCTGATCATTTCCCACTGGTAACCATAAGAAGAACAGTTTCTATAGCAGCTAATTTTCCTTAACATTTGATCTTCTTTGACCTAATTAACCAAAATCTATAAAAGCTATAGGCATGGTAAAAACAAACAAACAAACACATTTTTCTCATGCAATCATGAACAACTTGATATTTTCAGGAATAATATCCAGTGTACAATTTTTAGTTAAGTGATTTAAAAGGTATCATCAACCACACCATATTCCAAAATAGAAAAGTTTGGCATCTTTACTCTCAGCTTCATCCAGGAAGAAACTAAATCCTGTCATATCTCTCTCTGAAATAGCCTCCATATGTGTTATCACAATTGTAAAGGCCATTAGTCTAATATGGTTCCTAGAAAAAAGATGTACTATTATTTTGTTCTCATTTTTAGCACTATATGTGTTATATAAAGATTTTTATACATCAACGTTTTTACTTTTAAATTCTGATTCTGTTGCTACAGAAAGAGGAGCTACTTTTTCTTCCTCTGTCTTATACAATATCAAATGCATTAATCATCACAAATTCTATAACAGACTTGTAAAATATCGAAGATTATTTAAGACACTGGGTGCAGTATACTATTCACAAAAACATCCATAATTATTCCCTTCCCTGTATTACTTAACGCTCCTTTCGTTCCTACTGTCCACAGGGGAAGTCTCCTGGCCTGTGACCAATCAGAACATACAGGAAGTGATTCTGTGCCACTTTCGGGCCTAATCTCCAAGAGAACATGCAAGCTTCATTTTCTCTTTGAACTTTGCCCAGCCACCTTATAAACAAACCCTGGTTAGACATACTTCAGGATAACAGACCCCATAGGAGCATACAAGACATCCAGGTGAGGCTAGCCTAGGCCAGCCAACTCCTACATAACAATGCAGAAGATATAAATAGACAACTCTCCAAAGAAGACACACAGATGGCCAAAAGATACATGAAAAGATGCTCAACATCACTAATTATTAGAGAAATGCAAATCGAAACTACAATTAGGTATGACCTCACACCAGTAAGAATGGCCATCAACAAAAAGTCTACAAATAATAAATGCCGGAGAGGGTGTGGAGAAAAGGGAACCTTCCTATACTGTTGGTGGGAATGCAAATTGGTACAGCCACTATGGAGAACAGTATGGAGGTTCCTTAAGAAACTCAAAGTAGAGCTACCATATGATCCTGCCATCCCATTCCTGGCCATATATCTGGAGAAACTATAACCTGAAAAGATATGTACCCCAATGTTCACTGCAATACTATTTACAATGGCCAAGACATGGGAACAGCCTAAATGTCCATCAACAGATAAATGGATAAAGATGTGGTACTCATAAACAACAGAATATTACACAGCCATAAAAAAGAATGAAATAATGCCATTTCCAGCAACATGAATGAATCTAGAGATTATCATATTAAATAAGTCAAAGATAAATATTTTACTGTAAAAAATATGGTATCATTTATGTGGAATCTAAAATACGATACAAATGAACTTATTTACAAAACAGAAATTCACAGACACAGAAAACAAACCTATGGCTACCAAAGGGGAAAGATGGCAGAGATGGACACATTAAAAATGGGAGTGACACAGTGTATAGTGTCAGTCGCTGAGTCGTGTCCGACACTTTGTGACCCCATGGACTGTAGCCCACCAGGTTTCTCTGTCCATGGAATTCTCCAGGCAAGAATGCTGGAGTGGGTTGCCATTTCCTTCTCCAGGTGATCTTCCCAACCCAGGGATCGAACCCAGGTCTCCTGCACCGCAGGCAGATTCTCTACCATCTGAGCCACCACATACACATATAAGGGCCTACAGTACAGCAGAAGGAACTATACTCAATATCTTATAATAAAACTACATGGTAAAATAATCTAAAAAAGGTATTTGTATATAAATATATATGAATGTGTATATACACATACAGATATATATGAATCACTTAACTGTATACCTATATATTGTAATCAACTATACATAAATAAGAGAATTTTTTAAATTAAAACAAGAATTGGCCAACTGAGCAACTTTGTATGATTTTGGATTATTTCCTTAGTATCCTTCTATATATACAAAATTGACAAATATAAATATATTTAATAGATTTTATTAATAATTATCTTACTTCCATAGACTGAATGTTGGGAGCCTTCCCTGAGATTCATACATTAAATCCTAATGCCCAACATGTGGAATAGAAGGTGGAGGTGGAAGGTCTTTGGGAAGTGATAGGTCACGAAGGCAGAGTTCTCACAAATGCAGTTAGTATCACTAAAAAAGCAGCTCTGGAGAGCTCCCTTGCCCCTTTCACCACGTGAGGCTACAGCAAGAAGATGGCCATCTATGAACCAGGAAGTTGGCTCTCACCAGATTCTCACTGAATTGGCCAGTGCCTTGGACTTTCCAGCCTCTAGAAGTGGGAGAAATAAATATTTATTGTCTCGAAACATTCTATTGTTTCCCTCTATTTCTTTGCATTGTTCATTTAAAAAGGCATTCTTATCTCTCCTTGATATTCTTTGGAACTCTGCATTCAGATGGTATATCTTTCCTTTTCTCCTTTACCTTTCACTTTTCTTCTTTTCTCAGCTATTTGTAAGGCCTCCTTAGACTACCATTTTGCCTCTTTGCATTTCTTTTTCTTGGGGATGGTTTTCATCAGCACCTCCTGTACAGTGATGCTGGGCAAGATTGAAGGCAGGAGGAGAAGGATATGACAGAGGACGAGATGGTTGGATGGCATTACTGACTCAACGGACATGAGTTTGAGCAAACTCTGGGAGATGGTGAAGGACGGGGAAGCTTGGCGTGCTGCAGTCCATGGGGTCACAAAGAGTCGGACACAACTGAGTGATTGAACAACAATAAGCCAACCAGTCTACGGTATTTTGTTATAGCGGACCAAATGAACTAAGACATCTATTAACTTACACTCAATAGAATGGTATAATGGTGTCTGAAAAATAATAAAAGCTGAGTGATTCTCATTGAGGGCAAGTCTATTCATATTAAAGAAAGTCTGAATTTTGGTCTGTTTAAAAACAGCATTAATTTCAAGTATATCAGTTCAGTTCAGTCGCTCAATCGTGCGACCCCATGAATCGCAGCACACCAGGCCTCCCTGTCCATCACCAACTCCCGGAGTCCACCCAAACCCATGTCCATTGAGTCGGTGATGCCATCCAACCATCTCATCCTCTGTCATCTCCTTCTCCTCTTGCCCCCAATCCCTACCAGGATCAGGGTCTTTTCCAATGAGTCAGCTCTTTGTATCAGGTGGCCAAAGTACTGGAGTTTGAGTTTCAGCATGGGTCCTTCCAATGAACTCCCAGGACTGATCTCCTTTAGGATGGACTGGTTGGACCTCCCTGCAGTCCAAGGGACTCTCAAGAGTCTTCTCCAACACCACAGTTCAAAAGCATCAATTCTTCAGCACTCAGCTTTCTTCACAGTCCGTCTCTCACATCCATACATGACCACTGGAAAAACCATAGTCTTGACTAGATGGACCTTTGTTGGCAAAATAATGTCTCTGCTTTTTAATATGCTATCTAGGTTAGTCATAACTTTCCTTCCAAAGAGTAAGCGTCTTTTAATTTCATGGCTGCAATCACCATCTGCAGTGATTTTGGAGCCCCCAGAAATAAAGTCTGACACTGTTTCCACTGTTTCCCCATCTATTTGCCATGAAGTGATGGGATCAGATGCCATTATCTTAGTTTTCTGAATGCTGAGCTTTGGAATGAAAACTGACCTTTTCCAGTCCTGTGGCCACTGCTGAGTTTTCCAAATTTGCTGACATACTGAGTGCAGCACTTTCACAGGATCGTCTTTCAGGATTTGAAATAGCTCAGCTGGAATTCTATCACCTCCACTAGCTTTGTTCGCAGTGATGCTTTCTAAGGCCCACTTGACTTCACATTCTAGGATGTCTGGCTCTAGGTGAGTGATCACACTATCGAGATTATCTGGGTAGTGAAGATCTTTTTTGTACAGTTCTTTTGTGTATTCCTGCCACCTCTTCTTAATATCTTCTGCTTCTGTTAGGTCTATACCATTTCTGTCCTTTATCGAGTCCATCTTTGCATGAAATGTTCCATTGATATCTGTAATTTTCTTGAAGAGATCTCTAGTATATACAATAAATTATATTGTATATCAAGTATATACAATAAATTAAGTATTAAAAATATATATCCAACTGTGTCTATACTTATATATAAAATTTACTTATACCAGAAACAGCTAATATTTTAAGATAGTTTTTCATAAAATCAATTGTAACTATCTCTTGTGATCTTCATTCATTTACCAGGCATGGACGTTATCAAGCACTACGCACATGTACTACACACCAGGCTCTGTTCAAGATGCTGAGAACATAGTGGAGAAGAAGGATATCAGGAGGTCTATGCACTAGTTTATATTCCAGCAGATCACGCTTAACATTGTTAAAAGTTTCTAGGCAAAATCTTTTGAAATTTCAACTATTAAACATATTTAAAGGTTTGAGTAAGGACTTAATTATAAGATTAAAATATCCACTACTTTATCTCAAAAAGGCACGTGGAAATAAGTAGTAACTAGCAGTGATTAAGAAAAAATGGCTTCTCAAAACTATCTTCCAATTACCATGATATGCAACATGCTTAATTATCCCCAAAGTATACACAAATGATGTAGAACCAATATAGATCATAAATAATTAATATTAAGATTTATTGCTCAGGATAATCAGGAGTCTATTCAGTTTAAAATAATTTTTTTTTTCAGAGCTTTGGTACTCAAACAGGCAAAATTCTGGAAATGTCTGGGACTGGGGATAGACAGACATGAGACTTCAATGTCCTTGTAAGGTTCTATTTCTTAAACTCTAAGTGGTAGGTACAAAGATACTTCTTTATTAGTCTACACTTCTGCATGCCTGATATACTCAGTAATAAAAAAAAAATAAAACTCACCGATCAATTACAATCTCTTTCTGCCTTAGTAGTCCTTCTTTTATTTTCAGCACTGATTCCCACTTACTGAAATCTTGATAGCCAGGAGGTGAATAACTTTGACGAGATGATCCAGACAAAACCTGCACAAACATGTTTACGCTATTAGTATACTAAAAGTGGCTAAAGGGAATATTTATGTCATCTAGTATTTTCCCAATGATTTTCATTTTAAAAAAAGAGAATTCCCCATTTGATTAAAAAAATTTTTTTAATTACACCTGTGAATACAACATAACATGAAGAATTTTAAGGAAGTTCTAAAGTAAATGTATAAATCTAATCAAGAATTGGTGGACAACAGAACACATTATAATACTAAATGTAAGATGTTGTTCTCATTATCTTGTGCAAGCTTTCTGGAAATAAGAAAATTAATCACTGCCTAAGGAAGGAGTACAATAAAAATATAATATACCAAGGCTAGACTGTACACGTATTATCAGAAGGGTTTCCACATCTTGAAACTGTCATTCATCACATCACCCTTTAATTACATTAAAATTTCAAAAGCTAAAATACTTTCCCAAATAGTCATAGAAAATGACTACTAATTAGATAATCTAGATGACTGCTGGTCTCTAGTGTATCATTTAGGGGAAAAAAATCTGTTTAGACTTTTAAAAATATTTAAGATATTTAAACAGCATAAACAACAACATAACAAATGTAACATATCTTCAAACTTCTATCACTGAAACAAAATTAAAATTTTAATACTGGTGGTACTGGTTGAACTGACTCCTCAAAATTATGCTGAAGTTCTAACCCCCAATACCTCAGAAGGTAGCCTCATTTAGAAATACAGACTCTGCAGATAAAGTCAAGAAGAAGTCATTCAGTTCAGTCACTCAGTCGTGTCCAACTCTTTGTGACCCCATGAACTGCAGCACACCAGGCCTCCCTGTCCATCACCAACTCCCGGAGTTTACTCAAACTCATGTCCATAGAATCGGTGATGTCATCCAGCCATCTCATCCTCTGTCGTCCCCTTCTCCTCTTACCCCCAATCCCTACCAGCATCAGGGTCTTTTCCAATGAGTCAGCTCTTTGTATCAGGTGGCCAAAGTATTGGAGTTTCAGCTTCAGCATGGGTCCTTCCAATGAACACCCAGGACTGATCTCCTTTAGGATGGACTGGTTGGACCTCCTTGCAGTCCAAGGGACTCTCAAGAGTCTTCTCCAACACCACAGTTCAAAAGCATCAATTCTTTGGCGTTCAGCTTTCTTCACTGTCCAACTCTCACATCCATACATGACCACTGGAAAAACCATAGCCTTGACTAGATGGACTTTTTTAATATGCTATCTAGGTTAGTCATAACTTTCCTTCCAAGGAGTAAGCGTCTTTTAATTTCATGGCTGCAATCACCATCTGCAGTGATTTTGGAGCCCCTAGAAATAAAGTCTGACACTGTTTCCCCATCTATTTGCCATGAAGTGATGGGACCAGACACCATGATCCTAGTTTTCTGAATGTTGAGCTTTTTTTTTTTTTAATTTTTTTTCGAATGTTGAGCTTTAAACCAACTTTTTCACTCTCCTCTTTCACTTTCATCAAGAGGCTTTTTAGTTCCTCTTCACTTTCTGCCATAAGGGTGGTGTCATCTGCATATCTGAGGTTATTAATATTTCTTCCAGCAATCCTGATTCCAGCCTGTGCAAGTCATTAGACTAACACAAAAGGGGAAATGTGAACACAGACGTGCACAGAGGGAAGACTGTGTAAATAGATGAATATGATTGCCAGAAAGTTACTAGAAACCAGCCTGAAACAGACTTTTATTCACGGCCCTCAGAAGCAATTCATTCTGCTGACACCTTGATTCTGAACTTTTAACCTCCAGAACTGTGACATAAATTTCTGTTGTGTAAGCTACCTTGTTTGCGTGTTAGGGCAGCTCTAAGAAACTAATACAATTGCTAAATCAAACAGGAACACAAATTCCTTGGCAAGCTAAGAGAGGCTACATGAACACAAAAAAAGCAACTTTCAAGGAATTCAAACTAGCAGCAGTATCTTTATCCTTGCTTTCCAAAGATCTATTGACAAGACTTGCTTCTGAATAAACCAGTAACCAGGTGACATCAACTAGTCCTAGATTAAACCTTTAAAATGCCTGTCAAGTAATACTAGGACAGGATGTTTCAGGCAGCAGCAGATGAACAGACTAAGAATGGTAGATACTAGGTGGTACCAGGGTACATAACTTTGTCAAATGGGCAGATATTTGGAGTTGAGATGACACACAAGGTTAGAGAGACAGGTTAGTCAGAGATTTAGTTTTTGAATTTCACTCTTCTGCCTAATATACAACTCAGGCTGACATTCGGCCAACATGCACCAGTACGGATATAATAGTCGCTGCAGTACAGAAGCATTTTCACCGTGGTTGAAAACAGATGCTGCCCAAACACCTTGAAAAGGGCTTCCCTAGTGGCTAGATGGTAAGGAACCTCCCTGCAACGCAGGAGACCCAGGTTCAAACCCTGGGTCAGGAAGAGCCCCTGGAGAAGAAAATGTAAACCCACTCCAGTATTCTTGCCTGGAGCTACAGTCCACAGGGTCACAAAGAGTCAGACATGACTGAGTGACTAACACTTTCAAACCCCCTGAATGTCCTACCCACAACCCAGGCCACTCCTCAGAGCTTTCCATCACCCAATAAAGAGTGGCTTCCTGGCATAAATGGGGGCCTTCAGGACACCACTCATGGCATCCTTCCTGACTGGCTGGTTTCTACGAATCAGTCTCTCAAAATCCTCCCATCTCGACACTATCTACCAGCTTATATTTAGTTGCCAGAGCCAGGATTCAAATACAGGCAGCCCAACGAAAGAGCACCACACTGCCTCATTCTTTCTGCTGTGGCCCAGCTGACCAAGAAGGTATTTCAAATTTCATATCATAGGAGTTGGAAAAAATGTTTGACAGTAACCGCTCTTAAAAACTGAAGAGACAATTAAGCATTATAAACAATATTGTTGATATTAAGAGAAAGTCTCTGCTTATCACAACTCCATGTTACTTAAAGACTATCAATTTAATGGGTAGTCATTTCATGCAATTTAGTCAAACTGTAGCTCAAACAGGAATTCATTAAAAGTGGTAACAACTAAAACCATATTAATAATTCTAAAACTCAACATAAGTTGTGGAAATTATCAGAATGATATGGTGAACTGTTTGTGCTATAATTATTTCACTTGTAGAATAAAAGCAAATATATATTTAATTTATATATTGAATTATATATTAATCTCCTGGTAACAGGTTACATATATTTTAAATACTGGTTTTTGCATATCATTTTCATGCCTAACAGAAATAGCTTGAGCATCTATGATATCCTCTTCCAAGAATCTATAAGTTTCCTCCATTGCAGATTACAAGTCAGGAAAGACCTATACCATGATATTTTATGCTATGCTTTACTTTACACATCTTGTACTTATTTCAGTAAGACAAATGCCTAGACAATAGATGATGATCTTTACAAGATGACATGAATTACTCTATTCTTCCACAAGTTAGCTGCTAAAAATTTTTCCCACAGTTGACAACTTCCTAAGGAGGTCTTTTCTTACTTTATAAAACTTCTTGGCATCAAGAAAGAAGTAAAGAAAAGAAAAAAGTAGGTTTGCAGGAGAAAAGCAAACAACAATATAGTTGGTTTACAGTACTTCAACCATTGACAAAATAACAATATAGTTGGTTTACAGTACTTCAACCATTGACAAGATGAACTGCTGAAGTACTGAGTTGGCCAAAAAGTTCGTTCAGGTTTTCTGTAACAGTGTATGGAAAAACTTGAATGAACTTTTTGGCCAATTCAATACCTGCCAGATACATTTATAAATATATGTAAAACAAAATTTGAGACTTTATTCTTCCAATTTGTAGCTTCCTTGATCTAAACCCTTTAGAAAACAAAACAAAAAAATGAGCAAATAGGAAGAAAGGAAAGGAAACCTTTCTCTGTAATTAAGATGCAGTAAACAATTAGCAAATCAGTTGCATGGCAGTCTTCTTACTAAACTTTAATCCTGCCTCATAAAATAGTCTAAAAATGAGAATGAATCCTGACCATCAAATGCTGCAGGCAGTGTGTATTAGTCGCTCAGTTGTGTGGAACTCTGCAACCCCATGGACAATAGCCCACCAGGCTCCTCTGTCCATGGGAATTCTCCAGACAAGAATACTGGAGTGTGTTGCCATGCCCTCCACCAGGGGATCTTCCCAACCCAGGGATCAAACCCAGGTCTCCCACACTGCAGGCAGATTCTTATCATCTAAGCCACCAGGGAAGCCTCAATCCTGATTCATAAAAATAGTTTAAAAATGAGAATGAATCCTAACAACCAAATGCTGCAGGTAGAGTTACATGTAATTTTAAAAACCTGTTTGTATCTGCCCTACACTGAAAATGACAATTATGGAAACATGTTACCTTTTAAGGCTTTTATAATGAGGCCTTAGTGTATGCTATTCTAAATGAAGTTATAGAACACAATTTGAATCAACTAGTTAAGAGTTATTAAAATCAAAGCAAAGCAGCTACCGTACCTTTATGATTTTGCACACTATATAAACGACTACGTTACTTAAGATATACAGAAAAGAAACAACTAATGAAATTTTATTTTTAATATAATTTATAGCAAACTGGAAGTTTGTAACCTTTGACCTATATCTTCCCATCTCCCCACCAACCTAACCTCTGGTAACCCCCACTCTAGTTTCTATAAGTTTGGCATTTTTAGATTCCACATATAAGTGACATCATACGGGATTTGTCTTCCTCTGACTTATTTCATTTGGTCAACTAACTTTCACAAGGGGTGCAAAGCTGATTAAATGGGGAATTATATTTGGTATCTAATCAAAAGAAGTGAAAAATGTATGTGTACAAAGATCTACAGGCGAACACTTCATCACCCCAATCTGGAAACAAACCATTAACTGATAAATGGATAAACTGTGCCAAATACACAAAATGCAATACAAACTTAACAAAAACAAAATGTATACCTAAGCACCGCAGGCCTAAACTTTATTTTCCTGTCTACTTCAAAGTAAGAC